AAATAAAATAAAATAAAATAATTTCGTTCTTTAGCATATTTCAAATCAGTCGTTTAGCAATCAGCAGTCACATTTTCACAGAAAGTAAGATTTCTCTGGTCTAAGTCTCTCCCTTGGCGTGTATATGTGTGTGTATTTGTACACGTGTACGTCCGTGCACTGCCTTACGTTGTCGTTGACCGGCTCGTCCTCGGTGGCCGCCTGGATGCTGTAGGCCAGGAAGCAGAGAATCGCACCGATCCACAGCAGGATGGAGAAGCCTCCGAACAGCTGGCGGCAGAACTTGACCCACTCCGGGGTGGTGGGAGGGGGAGTCAGCGCGTTCGGACCATCCCTGGCCAGAATCTCTGCAGCTGTGGCATTGTTCAGGCCCTGAGGGAGAACAATTTTTTTTAGCAATATATGTCTTTGTGCCTGCAATGGGTTACTAGTTCCTGCCATGGCTTTAAGGCAATTTTACTGCTACAGTTGCAGAACATCAAATATTCCTGCTTGGCCCATTTAACACTACAACTATAATAAAAAGGGTGACTCTTCTCATATAAGGGGCTCGGCTCGAACTTTATTGAACAGATTTTTTCAGATGTCATGGTCTAACTCAGAGAAAACACTTATTTATTATATTGTTTGTCCACTTACGCTGAGTTGTGACAGTTTTTATGGAAGCCCATTTCCACCACCCTGATAAAAAATAAAACTTTTATCTCATAATTATGATTTAGTTATCTCATAATTATGAGATACTATCTCATAATTATGATTTAGCTATCTCATAATTATGACTTAGCTATCTCATAATGAGATAGCATCTCATAATCATGACTTAGCTATCTCATAATTATGAGATGCTATCTCATAATTATGAGATAGTAATTATGACTTAGCTATCTCATAATTAAGAGATAGCTAAGTCATACTTAGCTATCATAATTATGAGACACTATCTCATAATTATGAGATAGCTAAGCCATAATTATGACTTAGCTATCTCATAATTATGAGACACTATCTCATAATTATGAGATAGCTAAGTCATGATTATGAGATGCTATCTCATTATGAGATAGCTAAGTCATAATTATGAGATACTATCTCATAATTATGAGACACTATCTCATAATTATGAGATAGCTAAGCCATAATTATGACTTAGCTATCTCATAATTATGAGACACTATCTCATAATTATGAGATAGCTAAGCCATA